TCAAAACGGCCTTTGTCTCGCTAATTACAGAGGCAGATGTACAGCCCTCAACCAGAACTGGGAGTTACAGTGCTGACAAAACCAGTAGGGAAACCTGTGGCTGAGGCAGCTGCCTTTCACAGCATTTCCAGCTGTAGTGAAAATGCAGCAACATCCTAAGGACAAGCACTAAAATTAAAGTATTCATAAAACTAACATTTGAGGCAAAGGTTTAATGATTTTTTCCATTACCTATGCCAGAAGAACTTCAAATTTCCTTCCTCCTGCTAAGCTTTATCATCCCCTTTGACGGTGAGAGAATCTTTTAACTATCGCCAAGCTGCACTGTAAATTCACTGTTTATGTCAAACATGTTCGCTGCCAGCATTCACCAGAAAGCAGGTCCACTGAAAATGAAATTGCGACTATGTAAGATATTAAATGTAGACTCATAAAGAGTGAAAATTAAACTATGTTGATCACCCCAATTGGCATTACGACATCCATCGAATCTGTCAAATGTTTAGCACTACCAAAGCAAGTGTTTAGCTTCAAATATTTTCAGTTTCCTAGCAGTCTAATCCCACCCATCCCAGGCAACATCACATCATCCTCCAAAAATGCCTGGGTGAAGAGGAATGTTCTGTAGCTGGCTGGCTGTCCAGGCTGACCAAGTGGCTAACTGGGAGTCATTCTCAGGGAGTCGTGAACTTTTGTCCCGCCACTGATCCCTTGCTGGCTGCACGAGAGGACTTGGGCGACACCAAACAGGAAGTGTTCAACAAGTGGAAGCTATGGATGTTTATCTCGCACCATTCATCAACCCCCAAAAACCAGACACAGAAGTCGAAACCCGACCAGTGAAACAAGGCTGTCCTGACTTGGAGTTGCATGTAGCCACTGGGGAGCCGTCAACAGGCCATCATGGGGTTAGATCTGGGCTGGATGGTACCCGACTGGGAGGGTCTCCGCCACCCTCTGGCTCCTTTCGTCCTTTCTCACAGTACTCAAGGAGCCTGGCCAAGAGTTGATACCCTTGTGCCAAGTGGTGACACTAAAACAGTCACATTTTAAATTATTCAATAGATTTCAGGAGCAGTAACTGCAATAGCTGCTCTTAGAGAGTGAGCCTATCAGGATCAGGTTACGCCGGACTGAGGCTGACCTTAACCACAAAAGTTGTTGAATGTGGTCCAGACCACTACTATCAAAACCGACTTCAGATCAGTAGTGGGAACAGAGAGAATGTAAATCTATTCTGCAGACTCTGGCCAAGTCATGTGGTTGAGCCTTTAGCAGGAAGAAGAATGAGCCGTACAAAATCTATACAATACACAGCTATTATAACAGGCTGCATGACTCCCTGTCAAACAATGAGACTGATTCAAAACTAAAGGGTTCAGGAAAGATATGAAATGTCAACCTTGAAGTATGACACAATATACACAGTAGAAGAGAGTACATGCAAACATTTGGAAATTATACAGCTGTCCAACTGCATTCAGGATGCATCTGCTATAGCACATAGGCTTGAATCCACGGTGTTTACTGTGATTTCTCTGAGAGTAACAAGCATCTTTAGTACAGAGGCTCACTGAAAATTGGACATGAGCTAGTTTTTCAGATGTTGCTGTCTAGTACACAGAAAGATCTCACACATCTCATGGTTCAGTAAGTCAGTGAAGGAACAGGTTCCAAAATAAAACATCAAAAAAGAAAGCTAAAATCGTACTAATACCGGCAGCAGTGCAGCAAATTAAAGCACTCACTTCCCCAGAAAACCAACTTTCTGTCCTTAAGCTATATATGGTCACAAGCTTTGAGAAGATACTAAAGGAATGAGATTGCAGATATAGAAAGTCAAAATGGGGTTTTTGTATTATCTGATATGAAAAGTATGAATCTTCAGCTGAATTTATGGTCCTGTGGCAAAGGGTTATACCATACCTACAGCAGCTATGTGCGTAAGCCACAGTCTGCACCATAGCTAACATTCACCTCCTCCAAACTACACATTGGGGCTATGTGAGCAAGGTAGAAGCTACATGGGGACTGCAAGAACTGTGATTGATCAGTGTGTGCTTTCTCTCAACTTTCTGATGCCGGTGGAGTTTGTTGAGAGTAAACATTAAAGAAGCTGAAGAAAGACTCCCAGCTCTTTTCTCCTTTTCAGTAACACACTTCCAGAAAAGCCATTACACTGCAGACCTCCAGATCACAATTACACTGTATCAATGAATGAATGATTGAACATACAGCGACACAAGGCAAAATTATCTTGATGTAACTCCAGTTGTCTGTGACAAACTACATCTTCTGGCAGGCCTGAAAGCACCTTGGGGTCCCATGAAGAGAACTACTTGGAAAAGTGCATCTGGGCTGCCGTTCTTGCCCTGCTGGCACGGTTACCCAAACCCAGATAATCAGCAGGAAGATGGACAACTTGCTCTGCCACTGTAATACAAGGTTGAAGGCTAACAAGATACCAGCATGGTTAATATCATTGTTTACATACAACTAAATCCCACTCACAACAGCTGACACAGCAGAAAACCTGACACGGAGTGGACAGATTTAAGTGGGGATAAGCATCCATGTTTGTTGCATGGCTGAATGGTGAGTCACTTTAGTGAAGCAGGCCAATTCTCAGCGGAGGAAACAGCAGCATGGAGGGGGGAATACACTTCCATCCAGACTCCATCTCCATGCAGATATTACCACATGAAGTCTAAAGCCTTTTCCTGTCTCGCCTCTGCTGACAGATACCTGAGGTTCTGCTGACTGGAGACATCCTGGGACGACTGTCAACAGCTAAGCGAGGGTCAGAGATCCTCAGCTGGAAAAGTTGGACGCCATGAGTGGACTTTGTAAAAGGCTCACCATTGTCATGCATATTTTAGAACAAGAGCAGGGATGGACTGGAGAGTGCAGAAGGCTTACAGTCATATTTTCCATTGATATCAAAGCCATATGGCTGGATTTCATGAAATAGTTGAGGCAGTGCACTGCATTTGGCAGTGTTTAATAGAAGAAATGCACAATAATGTGGATGAACGGGCTGGATATGTTCTGTGGTACTAATGAGCAGTATATTATGATGAAAAGGAGCTACAGTATGTTCAGATGTTTATTCTATAGCCTTTTAAAAGTTCCCATGACTGCTGGCCATAAATTAGATAGATAGTTTCCTGTCATATCTTATGAGACTCCATGGTATCTTTAGATGAGTGCATGTGATATGAATTGATACACAGTGGTAAAATTGCACAAAACCAATAGATGATCTTAATCACTTCTTGGCAGATCATCAGCACCCACTCACTATGAATGCACTGCACTGATTTTCTTCCAGGGTCGTCTTCAAAGCATCGTATTTCCCACTCTTTTCCTGTTACAGATTCTTGTGACTATGCCAATGTTACAGGATCCATGTAAATATGCACAGTGATGAGATTTTCTGCTCTGCGGACCAGAACTGTTCATAACTAGCTAGTGAGAATCAGCAGACCTCGTAAAGAACAACAACATTACCCTGCTCCTCTGGAATGTCAACTTGGACAACATAGAACCAAAGGACACGGACGCCATACAGATAGATCCTTCACTATCTTCCACTTGCTGCTCAGCACAAGCCCTTCATTCATTTTTTTTTTCCTTATTTCCATTATCACCACCTCAACAAACACAAATACAGCTCTGACCTACCTACATATTCAGATCCTAGTGGCTGATGAAAGTGCTCTGTTTAATCACCCTCTTTTTATCCAGTCAATGATAATTACAGACACAAATGGAGTAATCATCATTATTCACAAGAGGTTAAAAAAAAACAGCAACGTGTGGATGCACATAGGAGCCATTTCATTATTCCAACAGGCTTTACACGCCATTAATCCCACACAAGTATAAAGTGCAGTTCACATCCACGGGCTCAAAGAAGAGAAAATAACTGGGTAAGAGGTTTAGAGCACCTTCATATGTTTAGAAATACTGTATATTTAGTACAAATATTCATGGATGTTATTAACTCTCAATTTCAATTTGCAATATTAATTGTATTACTGTACAAATTTACTGCTAGTTTCATGCTCCAGTTTATGTGAAACACTGTTTTGATCTCATTTGGTATTAGTAGTAGTGCAATGAATGTATTTTACTGACAGAGGAAACCACTTTGCATAAAAGGCGTTAAATCTGTGGTGCTGTAGCTTTACAATGCTTATTATTACATGGGACTGCTTCAGATAAGATAACAAAAATTAAAATGTTTTAGCCTCATTTTCGCTTCACATGTTATAAAAACGGACACACAAACACACACACTGGCAGACAGACACCATGATCAGGACCTCCCGACCACTCTCAGCACAAAAGAACAAGAACAGGCAAAGTAAAGCTTGATTGGCACTTAGGATATTCTTAAACAACCAAATATGAGATGGCAAATGATGTGGAATGGTGGGGGCTGTACTTGTGTTTAAAGCCACCTCTTATGCTGAGGCTACACTACAGTGTCATTACAACACATTACCAATGTCATGGAAAATAAAGTAGTTCCCTACATCACACAGGCAGAGCAAAACCACCGAGCAGTGTGCGTGTGTGTGGGGATGTGAGCGTGTATGCGTGCACTTGCATCATGTAAGTCCGGCAACATTACACCACAATGTAAATAACTGGTGCTACTAGACTGTGTCCTGTAACAGAAGGAGCATCAGTGCTGTTGTGTACTTGCCTCTGTGGTGTTTGACTCATTTTGGGGCAAGAGGCCCAGATGTCTGTGTTGGAAACAAAACCTAAACAGATGAATATGGTAGAAGATGGCAAAACACACGGGTGCATCATCATTTTAGTTGTCTACTGCCTTCAGGATTACTGCTGAAATTTGAAAACAAGCTAATTGTAGTGGGTTTGTGTGCGTTTGCGGAAAACCTTTCACTTCAGAGGATAATAGGGAAAGAAAGTTTGATGAGGCATGTCCTGTGTCCCTGACAGGGATCCTGCATGAGAGAAGTCCTTACCTTCTGGTCCACAATGGAGCACACCAGGTCCTTTACAGACGACAACGACAGGTCATTGGCCTCCAGGTTCACCGTCTCTCTGGTCAGTCCGATCTGCAGCAGGAAGGACACCCCATGGAAAGAGCTGCGGGAGTTGGTGGGGCTGGGGGCGCTGTGACTGCCGTTGGACAGCCGCGTGTAGAGCGGTCCAGGCGGGCTCGGCGACGAGGACGGGTGGTGCGGATGGAGAGAGTGGAGGTAGGCTCGAGGTAAGGATGGGGGAGAGGAGGCAGACATTGGGTTTCTTCCAATGGCGACGTGAAATGCTGAATAGTGGAGAACTCAGAGAGGAGTGATACAAAAAAGCACAGCTGGATCTGTGGGGATAAACTCTTGGTAGGGGGAACCTTTGGTCCTCATCAGTCGTAGTGACTCAGCACTGTATGTTTATCAAAGTGACATTGTTTTTCAGAAATTGAGAGGGTAATAACCTGTCCGCCCACCTGATCTCACACACCACACACTCATTAATTAAGTGGGCAGGTTATGGAGAAAGTCTCTGAACAATCCACAGGCTTCTGCAGTAAAGTCACTGCCACAAACTTCATATCCTGGAGTGGTGTTCCTTCTCCTTACTGAAGTCAGTAATCCACTCTGACCACAGGAAACCTGTCACCACAAACATACACACACAGACAAACACACACAGCTATTTTATAATGAAAAAGGTATTCACCTATCTGAATACACTGTAGAGAAAGTAATTCACTGGTGCATATTATTCTGTTGTCATCTGTATGAATGAATCAACTCCTTTTCATCACACTGTGAACACGTTTTGGTTAAACTGATTTGGAACAACATATCTTTAATAACATGTACTGTATATACCTTTACAATGAAAGCACTCGTCACCCAGTAATATCAGTCAGCCACACTGACGAAATATAGTACGCAAAATCGATATTTACCTTTTCTAGAATTGTTTCTGAAAACTTTAAATTTCATTGAGATTAGGTTATTTCTATAACTACCATCTGTGTTGTGTTTTGCTCTTGCCTTGCACTGTTGTGGTTGTGTGCAGATGTACTTCTCAAAGTTAGCTTTAAGCTAACTCCACATTGCCTGTTTGTAAATGGGCCGTGCTAAAGCAGCCACAACTGAAACTTTTGTATATGAGGATTAGTTTTAACGTTACTATCGACCTTTTTTGACTTTTGGTGAACGTAAGAAAATTATGACTACAACTGCTCATGCGCAAAACAGTCAAATTAAAGCCCAAAGGACACGTAAAAGTCGATAAAGCGTATCATTTCTGTGTTTACAAGAATTCAAACTCCACAAACATCTGGAACCAAGGCTTCTGAACATCTGCACCCCTCCCACTTTCGATTGGCTCGCTGGCAGAACACAAGCCGAGTCGAGAATGCCAGCAAAACAAGTTATACAAGCCTCGAAATTTGCACATTCAGAGGACACTGTTGCACTTGAACTATCTGCTCGCGTACAGCTCGTTCACAACCAAACGTCGAATTAAATCATTGTGAAATGATACTTTACCTTCACAGTCAGCGAAGGGCGCTTTCCTTTCCATTGTGAGTGGACTGAAGAAACTTTTTAACTCCATCAACTGAGGAAAGCGGAGCCTCAAGTTTATTATTCTGCACTTTCTGGAAGTCCGCACACAAAAGCACTGCGTCGTAGCCTACAGAGAATAAATACCAACTTTACTTTTACAGAGGCGCACCGAGACTGTTCGAGCCGTCCATTTATTTTCTCTTATCTTTTATTCCAGATTGTAAATTCATGCGCATCTTATTATCCTTCCAGCTGTGACTACTCCCCCTGCTTGACGAGAAAAAGAGCAGCGACCGTAGCTGGGGCTTGGAGTCTTTTTATTATCTCCGCATAACTGACTTTCCATGTGTGGGGAGGAAAACTTGAACTACAGTCCGTGTGAGGCAATGGCGCCTCCGATGGAGCTCAAACCAATGCGCATGTGCCTTTCTTTTCCGTTATTTCAACTTGGCCATGCCAAGAAAAAAAAACTTAATTCTACACGACCCGGTTCGGCTTGTAACACGCCGGTTTCCAAAGTGGAGTCCAGGAGTCTTCAGGGGCCATTGAAGAGATTCATTCTATAAGTCTCCATCAAGATGAGGAATGCACTGATTTATTTCATCAAATTAACAGCAAAGAAAGGATAAGTTTGAGTTTTCTGATCACAGCTTTCAGTCTCTACTGTGTTGTCTCATCCTATAAACAGCTTAACTCCTTTTAGACTCAGGTTTAAAAACTGGAGTCTGTAAACCATGACATAAAATGGTGTATGTTTAATTTATCAGATATACGGAAGCTACTGTATCTATTCAATTAACTGGACTTGGATTGTCAAGAAAAACAGGAAGAGTTACTTGATTTTGCAAGGATGCTTACTCGTCATCTAACTGCCAGCTCATAGTTTAGGTGAACTGATGCACAGCAAGGTTACACAACAAATTTTAGGAACTGCTCTATTGTTACACTTGGAATGTAAGGTTTTGTAATTCAGTAATGACATTTAACACAAATCAACAAAAATGACAAACAGAATGCAGCATTTATTAAAAGAAAAGCCTTTTAATGGATTAATACTGAGGAAATGTGGGGTCTATTCTCTTTGCCCAGGCCATTAGGCCTCCACAGATGTCTTTCACTGTAATACTGTCCACTTCTGATCCGCTCATCTTCTCCAGAACCTGCACCGCCTTCTGAGAATCGTTACCCAGCTTACAGATCACATACACTGGAGGAAGCCACAGAGAGAAAACACTGGCAGATATGTTTGGTCAAAGCAGTGGACTCAATTTTAAGCTAAATTTGCCTCAGACTGAATTTGAACACACTTAACCTTTACTTCTTTTTCATGTTTAAAATAATACACAGAAACACCACAACAGACAAAAAGCTGCACACAAGAGAGTTTCAGTGGTACATTTATAAACAGATCCATGTTTAAAATAATGAAGACTTGAATATGCAAGAACTGAATATACAATAGGTGGCCAAAAGCACTAAGATAAAAGATAAAACTCTAAAACCTAAATTTAACTCATTGATAAAGAAAGCTCAACACAGTGAATATCCAGAACACCACAAAAATAATGTTTTGAATATTAATTTCTCTAAAGCAGGCCAGCTGCTCAGGTTGACCACACTTGTTTTGGAAAAGAGGTCACCTAGCAACCCCATTACAACCTTTTACTAGCTGTCCAAAATAGGCCTCCGGCCCGGCACTATGCAATATACACAGTGGACTGTGAATATGCACAAGTGGCTCTACGTGCCTGATCATTTCAAACAACATATACAGAGCCTAAATGGTGTTTTGACATGTTACCTGGAGGCCGGCAGTCACCTGCCATCTGCTGTTTCAATTGGCTGATTCTTTCCTGAAATAACTGGATGTGTTCACTCTTTCTCTCCTCTAAACTTGAGAGTGGGATGTCTGGCAGAAATATAAGGAGGATAATCACACAGAAACATGAAGTGAAAGTACAGAATTAGGACACGGTGAGACCAAGTTTGTGTCTCCATCACTCACAAGGATACTGAGAGAGAAGGGTAAGTGGCATATATCCACCTCCACAAGAGGGCGCACATCCAACAAAAGATGGGGCTCTGCCTTGTCCATTATGGATTGATAATCCTGGAATAATATTAAAACAGCTCTTAATGCACTTATACTATCAGATTTATAATCAAAGAGAGGTGTGGCTTTATTTTTTGGAAAAAGACATTGATTTATGACCATAGTTAAACAGGGAAACCAAAATTACTCACAGCAAAGGTTGAAATACTGCTTGGATTTGTATTTGAGGAGTAATATGAACATTTTAACTGCTTTTCCTTAAATCACAGGAAACAAAACTGTTTCTAACTGGAGCCCCATGCACAATCTCGATTACAGCCCAATCAATCATGATCCCCATCTCTGTGCTTAATGACTCAGCGGGTTTGAAAGCGCCAATTCTGCAGAAATATAAACAGATGCAATCCACTACCACTGCTCTCAGTGCCAAATAGAACATGTTATTCTTTCCCATAGAAAATCTACAGGCCCATATTAAGTCATTTCCCATTTGGGGCTGGGTCAGCACAGAGATGTAATCAGTTTATGAATGCACATGAAAACTGAGAAAATTGTGAGTAATCATACAATAAACAGCGCTAAATACAGGGAGTCACGCAATGGCCGAGTGTTCTGGAGAATATATTCCCTACCTGTACTGTGATCCTCTGATCTCTGGAGAGGAGGTTGAGTTTGCGGCACTGAAACACACGGAAAAATCGGGCAAAAAGAGAATTTTCCTATGATTAGGGGATAATTACGTGTACTTTCTACGTGTCATATTAAATGGCAAAATACAGTTGATGTAAGAAACACTTCTTATTACTTCAAAAAGCAACATTCCTATGAAAATGTGCACAACTCCACAATATGAAGTACCCGATCTGTTTCATCTCTTACGACCAACCTTATCTGTGGCAGCAGACCCACAAAAGCTCTCATAGTCCACAAGCTTGGTTACACTGGGGTTCTCTCCACAGACTGCACAGCCAGTCTGCTTGGGCCGCAACTTGATGGACCTAAATCTGGCATCTTGAGCGTCAAACATCACCAGCTGCTGGCCACAGGAAGCTGGGACGCCTGGTCAAGGATAAGGCTACTTTGTTAAATGTATCACGTCAGACACGTGTATGGGCACCATAGCAACATTCAGGCGTTTTGGTAGGAAAACAGTCCCAACACTTCCCTGGCTGATGCATCACGGCCAGGTGTTCGCATGAGTATCACAATGCGAGTCAGAAGGCATGACAGGGCAAGCCTATTCTCTGATGTGAGTCTCAATATTAGCATGAGAACACTGCAACCACGACAGCTCCATGAGACAATGACAAAGGAGTAGTCAGCAGAGTCCAGAGAATCCAGACAAAATATCTCTGTTCTTGCTTTGTTTTATCAGACAGGCAGAAAACACCATCGCTAATGTTGCTACAATGAAATCCCTTTCTGCAGTTGACTGTTGATTCATTGCAATGACTCGGCAAAAAATTCTGCTGCCAACCAACAATATGGCCAGGCAAGGTGAAGAATGTAATGTAGGAGTTAAGAATGGAACAGCAAAGGATACAGCCTTGTCCAGAGGCAATCTTGATGACTTCCAAAGCTTGGAAGCAGCCCATTATCCCTGGAACTTGAAGAAAAGTGGAAAATGTTACCAGCAGCTATTATTTACACACACTGTTCTCTGTACAAAGTTAATGGCTTCTGGGCAAGTAAGGGGACAAGACTCACCCACTCCTAACACCCCTCCGTCAGAACAGTTGGTCACTGTCTCTGGGGGTGGGGGTACTGGGTACAGACATCTGTAGCAGGGGCCTCCACGGTAGTTATATACTGTCAACTACAAACACGCACATAAATTATTTTACTAATCTTGAGGAGCCTGACAAGAAAGAGGGCTTTCTACCTTACCTGTCCCTCCATTCTCAGCGCACTTGCTGACACCAGAGGCTTGCTACTGAGGACACAGGCATCATTCACCAGATAGCGTGTGGGGACATTATCTGAACAATCAGCCACAATGTCATATATGAGGTCAGCAAAGTCAAGGAGTCATCATAGAGTTTATCAATATAATAGATTGCTTGTTAGGTTTCTACTTGATAAGAAATCATGAGCTTGAACAGGACTTAGTGGACGGCAGCTGTAAGAAATATTCATGACAAAGAATTAGCCAGCGGCAGGCCTGCATAACAGATGTAGGTTGAGGACTTTGCAGCAGGATACTGTTGGATGAGTTGCAAGGCATTCTCTGACGATAGCTGCAGGTGGTAGGGAATACACTCTACAGTGGAGTTCAACCTGCACACAATAAGTGACATTCAAAAATAGCAATTAGTTTCCCAAGAGGTCAGGTTCAATCCTCCATAGTTAGCAGAATTAATACGATAATATGAATAAGACATCAGTATTACAATTGACCTTAAAAATCCCATACCCAGGGCTGTACTAGTGTTTCAGTTAAAACCAAATCACAAAACAACATGTGAGCTTTGAATCTGACATGGGATCTGAGTCACATGTCAGCCCCCTCTCTCCTCCCCCCTCTTAATACTTACTGTCTGTCTCCCAACTATCAAACAGGTGACAAAACAAATAAATAATCTTGCATTATGCACTCAGCAAAACTCATTAATGAACAATGAACAATAAGAAAAAGAAGAGGATGGTTTTGTACGTGTGACACAGCATCAAAACACTGTGTACATGTTTTTGCTCAGTCAGTGAAATGATGCCCTCGTGTGGCCATGGCTATACAATGTGTGTGCTAACCACAGTAGGCCCACTGTGAAGGAGAAAAGCACCAGAAACAGCCATCTCTAAAATAGCATGTTTACACAATATTTGCAGACTGGGGAGAAATACACAACCAAATATAACTTGTGGTGAGACAGGAGCACGCCAGCATACATTACACAGCAACCAAAGGGTCACAAAAAGCAGTTAAATACACCAATTATCATAGTTACAGAACATCTACTAATATTATGTAATTTACTAATGATATATAATAATGATAATGTTTTAATGTTGGTCTGCTTGAACTGCTTTGGCACATTTGAGCAGGAATACATTTCTCAAATGTTCTCAAGCACTCTTGTTCTACTAGAGGATATTGGTATGAAGGTACTTTGACCTCTATGTATTGTATATTGTCCCACACCAAGTGTAATTTTTCAAGAAATGTGTACAGATACCAGTCAGTACCTTCTAACTGCATTAGCAGCAGACAGAGCCTTGGCCTGGCCCTGGTTCTCCTCCCCATGTAGCACCTGTCTGTGCAGGTTACTCAGCTCCACTTCGTCATAGTCCAGCAAACCCAGGCGCCCTGGAGACACACAGAAAAGCTTTAGAATAAATAAATAACAAACCCTGATAACATTGACGAACCATGACCGTTAAACTCGAATGGTCATTGACTTTTCTCAAATTTTGTATCGGCTTACTTCTGAACACAGTCAGTGACTCTTCCCCTAAACAGCATGTTAATATTAACACAAACTCCTACACCCCTTTCCTTCAGTTTTTTCAGTTATCCTCAGTTAGTTATACAACCAAAGTGTAGTTGAAATTTCACCTGAGGCAGAAAGTAATATAAGTTTGACTGCAAAAGAAAAGCATATGCCATATACTGTATGTCTCAAAATAAACACACTCTTGTCTCCGCAGTAAGATAAGAGTGATTCCTGATTTTATTCATTAAAAAGTACTAAAACGAGTAGTGGGATATTTTTCTTTGAGAAATGCAAACCTCTCCCCTGCAGGTACATTTATTCAGTTTTCCAGCCCCTGGGAGGTGAGCCACATTGCTAATTTTAGATTCTGCCTTAAGGAAAACACAAACAGTTGGCGTCTCAACAATTATTTACACCTATTTATTTATTTATTTCAAGGATAATTATAGAAGGGTTAATGATTTGACTAATTTGGCAAAAGGTCACGCTGTACATTAATCAACTACATTACCTACCGATGCCTGCTGCTGCAAGGTACTGTGCCAGAGGGCAGCCTAGTCCTCCACAGCCAATAATCAGCACTGAGGTCTTGGATAAGTTTAGCTGACCTGTGGACAGTCAACATGTACTTTGTTGTGTTCAGTCTTGCCACGAATCTCACTTGACAGGATGCTTACTGTACTGTACATCAGAATAACACTGCCTGTAACCATCCATACCTTGTACACTAAGGTCAGGCAGAAGGAGCTGTCTGCTGTAGCGCATGATGTCCTCATTGCTGAGGGCTGGTTTGGCTTTCAGTGGGATTAGGGGTCTCACTTTGTCATGCAGCTCCAGTGCTGAGGTATGGCTCTGATTTCACAACACGGGACAATTATTATTACACAACAACAAAGGAAACAAGATTGTACAAGAGCTTTGGGCCAGGTGGCATCACAGCCCTCAACAATCTGTCTGTATAATATAAGGAGCTTTGTTTATTTCTCTCTTTACGTATGTCTCCAGCTAATATGTCTGACATAAGGAGCTGATTAGCAATAGTTTTACATAAGAATGGATTGAGGAACATCTGAGTGGCTAGTATGTTTAGCTGTATGTTTACTAAGTATGTTTACCACTAAAATGCCTGTTTGCTTTTAATGCTGTATTTTCCATATGATGCTGATGTGACATTAACATTGGTACTGTTTTTTCTAGGAGAAGAAGAATTGGGCATATTGTCCTAAATGTATAGCATCAATTACCCAATTCACAGATGATGTGTGACATCTCATAGCATTTAGAATAAAAACTAAATAACTGTGAATGAGATAGCAGTGCTTGCAGCAGTGTGTCTTTTTGAGCTGGTTATTGTTACCCAGAACCTGCAAGGAATTTATGGATGTGTGCGTGCCTCCTGATGAATGACATGAGGAGCTACAGTTATGTCTCCATATACTGCCACATTAATAGATGCACCTATGCAATCTATTGCAATTTAATTCAAGCAGCTATGCCATAAATTGATCTTCAGCCTGAATGGTTGTAAATGTGTGATTTCAATTACACATTTATTACTCTGGTCATAGTTACAGGTGGTGTTGTACTCTATTACATTATATTCATTCGGATCCTCTATTTTTTGTCCTCCCTATTTACATATATAAGGGTGGGAGGTGGGCAGAATATTAGAAACACCTCTCAATATAACGCAGTCCAGTATATAACCATCACTAAGAAACAAAAATTCAACATGATAAGTAACTAGCATGCTAGTTAGCTCTCTATCAAATGTCCAAGTTTAAAGATAGGAGTACCTGGGTCAAATGTGCTAACGTTATGTTCCAAAGTCGCTAATAAGGAAGGGTTGCTAACCATAAGTAGCCTACATAACATTTAGTTGCATTCAAATGTAATGAGAATACTATACTACTATAATATTACTATTATGGAACTAATTTATGTAGGCACAGGCTGTAAAAGTGGACAACTGGTGTATAAATAAACGTCAGCTTGACATTTAGCAAAACTTTCATACCTTTTCCAGCTGAGCCAGTTTATTCTTCAGAGCTGAAATCTCTCTCTCTTGCTCCTTGAGCTGTGCTTTCAAACAGCACACCTCCTGAGACATCGCTGCTACAAGCACAACGAGAAAACCGCGGTTACAACAAAAAAAGATGTATAGTATCACAACAAAGATACTTTAAGTCTGCTTCAGCTGCAGTATCAAGTGTGTTGAGAAAGATGTTGACATATGAAGCAGACGAGGGAGCGCACTTCCGGGCTGACCACGTGAAACGAGACCACGTGGTAGATGACGTAAGGCACTGCTCTTACTCTAACAGAAATAATATAAGTATAAATTTTAAGAACTGGTATGTCTGATTGTTTGCATGTTTTCAAGTCTGAATTAATGGAAGATAAAATAATAATTAAGTAAGTAAGTAAATAAATAAATATTTAATACTATGCTTTACCTACTGGTGGACTACACAACGACAAAAGAAAAGCATGAGTTGTTCTAATTATAATATATTGATAGATAACTTATTACACTCTGTTTTGTTGTTTGTTTATTTTCTGTGGTTTTGTTTGTTTGTTTGTTGTTTGTTTGTTTGTTTGTTTGTTGTAAAATATGAAGCTCCCGTTGAAAAATGCTGACCGGTAAGTAGACATGATGGGACTAGTCTTTTCTCTTGTGACCCTCAGGTATGCTGTAAAAGTGTTTGTTGCTGAAAAATTGTACATGGGGTCACTATGTCATTACTGTTCACAGGCACCCAAGTGGTTCCACGAACCACAGACAAACACACACACACACACACACACACACACACACACGTACACACACAGCAGTATAGTGACGCGCTGTGGTTTAAAGAGCCTCGGGTCCTCCCTCCTGCTTTTCACATGATCTGTAAGCTTTCACAGAGGAGAGACAGGAATGTGGAGAGGAGCGACAACAACGACGGCTGAGCGGAGTCACATAATGCGTTTGTTTTACGCTGTGTCCATCTGGATGACATTCATCCACTGCTCCAACGGAATCCCCTGGACACAAGAAAAGGTAAATCAATTAAGAGTGTCTGTTAACAGCTTGTTGTCTGAACACAACCAGGTAGTCTGAATTGTAGCCCACATTCAGACAATCAGAGAACCATGTCCAGAAGTGAAACCATTTTTAAAAACTTGCCACATGCAGTGTTTTTATATCTTTACTGTCATGTGACTGACTTTTAACAAGGCTCAAATGATTGCTTGCAATTATAGATTAATTCTTAATAAATTGTTTTTATCATTATAAAAACATTTGTACCCATTTTCTTGAATTATTTTACTGGAGAAATATATGAATTGCAGGAAAAATGTCGATCAACAGGCTACTATTATTCTGTATGGGAGAGTTTTCATATTCTGCTTTTACATTTATGGTATATTCATAATAATTAGTCACGATACTCCAACAATCCTCTGCACAGTCTCTAAGCACTTGTGTAATTCTCCTGAGATGCACCTGGGTATGCCTGGCCACTCATGTTCCTCATCTATGATCTTCTTCTGCTCTTCTCTTTGCCCGGTTGCTATGGCAGCACAGTCATCATCATTGATCCTCCAATTGCAGGTCTTGGTATTTATAGATCTTAAGTGGACCCCCTTTTAACCCTCTCTGAGCTCAGTGAGCCCCAGCTCTTTGGAAGACTATATTGAGTCTGTGTGACCACATAATTGTACCTCTTGCACTATATGTACGCCACTCTGTAATTACAGGACTGATGCATGAGTCAGCCAGTAAGGGTCCAATGCACACTGTGAACAGGGGTTGTAAGTGAATCTTTATGCTTTAGTTGTAATGAACAGACTTAAGGAATGTGCCCTCTCCAGTTGTCCAAGACGCTAAAGTGAAACCAAATTAGAACAAAGAACAAATGTACGCTGTGATTTTCCTTAAAAAAATATTCATTTCAAAGACTAAAAAGTGCTAAAATAAATAATCAGATAATAAATCACACAATCAATTTATAATTTCAGTCGTTTATTAAGCAAAAATGCTAAACATTTGCTGGTTCCGTCTTCTCAGGTGGGATTATTTGCTGTTTTTCTCTGAATTATTTCACTGTAAAATTGGGGTTTGGACTTAAAAATGGCAATTTGAAGACATCCCAGTGGGTTCTGGGAAAATTTGTGAGGTAGTTTTTACTATTTTCAGAAATTTTATGGACTAAACATTCATTCATTAACCATACCACTTATCATTAGACTAAACAATTAAATGATAAATTAGTAATCAGATTAACTAATAATGAAACTAACTGCTAATTGCAGAAATAATCATAAACACAGATTTTACAACTCCAGCTCATGTTCTCTTCCAACACCTTGGAGCAGTCAGAGTGCCAATTATCAGAGAGGCAGGAGCGGCGCAAAACAGATACAACAGAGACATTGACTGGGCTCTGATGTTCACCCTCAGCTCTTTCCCTCATGCTCCCGCTCTCCATCCTCCCTGTCAGTTCAGTTTGTTACCAGGACAACCGTGCTTCTCAGCAGTTGAACTTTGAGACCAAATGAAAAAAGAGCCATGGGATCAGAGGATCAATATGTTTTTTTAACACACTGAATTGACACACAGCTTGAAACGTGAAATCTAAATCTATGTTGTGTTCCTTAAATTGAACAAACAGGCTCATGTTCCTTTTCCTAGAGCAAAAGGGAGAAATAACGTGTTAACAAGAGCCTCTCACTTTTCTGCCTCTCTAGTCCCCTAGATCCCTGATTTACTAAAGTAGCCCTTGTGTGTGTGTCTGTGAAGCCAGTCAATTAATGTCTATTCACACAGCTCTAATTGGCTCTTGTGTCTCACACTTAGGAGGTGTTAGAGTGAACTTCACAGCTCATCTAAAACAACCTCACCACAAGATCAAATTGCTGCTTTTTTACACAAATATGCTGTATGGGTTTTCTAGGCGTTGTCATGTAGTTGATACTGTCGTAGCTGACTGTGAATAATCCTGTTTAAGATGGATTTTCTCTCATGGCCACAGCATATCTTAAATATATATTTTAAAAAAAATTCCACTTTTAGTGGTTTCCAGTAATAAGACAGGAGGAATTGACTGTTGTGACACACTAACATTACTGGTTCTGTATTGTGTGTCATCTGCATTGTTGCTCCATTTAAATGTATCAGGATGACTTCTACTGCTCTTACTAAGAAGGTGTTGAAACTATGCCATGGCAGACACTGACTGAAAATAGGTGTAAACATTACGCCTCAGTGATTAACAGCAGAGCTTAGTGATCTGATCACAGTAGTAACATTTCATCCTTAGAAATTGCAATAGTCACTCTATGCACTTTTATTTCCTCCATGAATATAAGTTGAACCCAGTGCCATCCCTCATCCATTTTGGTTTATCTTGTTTGTCTCCTCTGGTCCTGTTCAGCTCCAGCACCGGGCCGTCACGCTAACACAAGATGAGATTCGCACCGCCCTGTCTCACACTGACCTGGAGCAGATGTGGCAGAGGGATCTGAGGCCACTGCTGGTTACCAGGTACCCAGGCTCTGCAGGCAGCCAAGCTGTGCAGGAGGTGAGTTTATCATTGTGGGATAATATATCATGGCCAGACCACATGCAGTGTATCATGATTGGCAAAGCTATTAATTAAGCCAATTCATTAAGGCAATAATTGGCAAGATAAATGTCAAAATCCTACTTCTTTTACCTTCTCGAAAACCCATTATTTTAGTGGCAACATTATGGCAACTAAAAACTAAAGATAAGCAGCAGATATGAGCTGATACCACGCTGGTTTACACTTGTTACTGATTCCTCCACATTTTATGTCTTGCAACATATTGTTTCAGTAGGAAATACATCCACATCAAGAAGTCGTCACAAAATACTGTTTCATTATGAGAAATAGGGAAGCAACAGGTCTGAATCAGCCTCTTTTCTTTGTGTGTGTTTATGTGTTTGTTCATCTTTCTTTCAGCATATCAAAACAACTCTCGGCTCTCTCGGGGCAGGCTGGGAAGTGACAGAGGATAGGTTTATGTCACAAACACCCTATGGCCCCCTGTCCTTCACCAACCTGATTGCCACCCTCAACCCATCCGCCAAGCGCCGCCTGGTTCTGGCCTGTCACTATGACTCCAAGTACTACCCGCCACAGTGGCACGGGAGGGAGTTCCAAGGTGCCACTGATTCTGCTGTTCCCTGTGCCATGATGCTGGAGATGGCACGAGCCCTGGATGAGGAACTGAAATCTCAGAAGGTAGTGGGCTAACAAGTGACTTAAATCCACAATATACTGCAGTAAATGAAACATGGTTTCTCTGTTTGTCTGTGACCCCATGTGCACTATAGATGCCTAAATCCCTCCAGTGTGCAAACATGCATTTCAATTATAGTTAGGCCATTTTGGGGGTGTGTAATAGTTTCTGTGGTTGTGGTTAGCACTAACTTGATTTGTTGTCATGAGTCATAGTGAAGTCTTACAACAACAACACTGACGGCAGTAAGCTCTAAAATAACATGGCAAAACAAGTGGCAGACAAGTCCAGCTCCAACTGGGTGAACATCACTGTGGGTTTTCTTCACACTCAAACATAGGAAATAATTATCATTTAAAGCTGAGTGAAGTGTTGTGGGGGTAAGAAGAAAGAATGTAGTACTTACAACACATTTTATTAGTGCTGCAAACATAGTTTAATTTAATAGATAAGACAGGTGTTGTTCTATATTTCTCTTTTTGTCAACAAGTCTCAAGAAAAGACTGAAATCAATGATGTGTTAGTCTGTTTGTCAGTCCTTTTTGACTTAATGTAAGTCTTTTAAAATGGGTCACAAATATAAAGGCTGAATAATTTTCTTAAACACCTGGGTATTGTAGTTTTTAGCAAACAGTACTCAAACACGAGTAAATATCACATTTACTGGGGACTATTTTCAGCTGTGGATTAATATACATTTGGTACATTAGTGACTGTATATATCAGCAGATTAGTTTATGTGAAACTGACTCAAAATAAATACAGTCTCCCTGTTCATGGTAACGATGGAACAGGTCAGCCAGTGCAGCAGTTTGGCTCATTGATGTGTTTGTAATAGTTTTGTGACCACAATGGGGCTCCACAGCATAGAGGAATAAGCTGCTGTTTATCAGATTGGTTTGGTCTTTCATTAGATTTTTGACCAGTATTGGACAGCGACAGGTATGGATGAATCACATGGCATTGAAATAGTCAAAAATAGTCAAATGTAGACGTTTGTGGGAAAATGGTGAATTTATTTCACAGGCCTTATCCTGTATGCATTGTCAGTGAGTCATTCAATAAGAGCTCATTGGTTTTGCTAAACAAACTTAAACGTTAACTAAGCTTAAATAAAGTCTCACGTACAAAGTCATGTATAAATTAGACATCAATCAAACTTGCAAATGTCTATGCTCAAACCCAACTTCAACAGCAACAACATTTCAAATACAAAAGTTATAATGATTGGTTATATCTTATAGTAACTGACACAAATTTGCTGTCAACAGTGTTTAATTGTTGCATGCACAAATGATGCAGAAGCAGCACATTTAGTATTCATGCAGCTTGCTACTCTGTTCTTTTCCTATTTCACAGTTGAGAGCCTCATCTATTGGGTGGACAGTGACAGGGCCTGTGACAGGGAGATCTGCCAAGAGACATGTTTATCAGACTCAGCTGTCTGTCACAAAGGTCACTGTGGGAATAGGAATCACCCTGAATACAAATACATTAGCTGCCACAGAGGAGGACACATAATCAATATTACAGCTAATAAATCACATAGAAAATAGTCAAACTTTGCATTACAGAAGCATATTTTTGGGGAAACAAAACTAAAGAATGAAATTAATAGTTAATGTAAAAACTACTTTTGAAACCATCAGGCTGTTTTCGTGTCACTGTTACCTTAAAACCACTAGAGGGCAGAAAAGCTCTTGGAATGGAAACTGCAGTTATATATGACTATGCAATATTTTATCTTTACCCCCAATGTAGAGCTCCAGCCCCAACCTGACCCTGCAGTTGATCTTCTTTGATGGAGAGGAGGCTCTTTTCCAGTGGACCCCCACAGACTCCCTATACGGCTCCCGCCACCTGGCCCAGAAGATGGAGAGCACCCCACACCCTGCTGGAGCAACAGGCACCAACCAACTAAATGGCATAGTGTGTACCAGTTCTGCTCATCGTTCTCTGTCTAAACCACCTGAGATTAGCATAATCACTTAATCACACCGAAGATCATCCCTTTGTTAGCCCACAACAATTTCAGTACAATGTGCTTAGGCCTGATCTCCTCTCACACACACACACACACACACACACACACACACACACACACACACACACACACACACACACACACACACACACACACAGACACACACACACACACACACACACACACAGCCCACACAGACACCTTAACAAGGGAGGCACATGTCTTAAATAGTTCTGTAACGTAAGGAAATTTCAAAAGCTCACAAAGCCACTCAATTTATCATGTGGGAGGATTGGGTGTCTTGATATCAAGCGTCATCTATTATACAGTCTATGATAACAAGACGTCACTTTAATTGGTATACGTTTCGTTATCGTAGCAATGCTGAGATCGAGCAACTGTTTATCAACAAATGGAGACATTCCTGTGTGGACAGACAGAGATAAAGCAGACAGTATCAAGTCTGTGCACGTGTGTGTGCATGCGTGTGAATAGACAAGTGTGATGTGAGATGCCACCTCAAAGCAGTGGCTCTGAGGTGTGATTATTATGGGAACAGGCTTCTGGTCAGGGACTTATCTTCAGGATGTGCAGGGAAAGTTTCTCATGAGAGCTCTCATCAGTGTGGTTCAACCACGCCCCCTCCCTGTCTCTTCTTCTCCAGGATCTGTTTGTGTTGTTGGACCTGATCGGAGCTCCTGGCCCTCACTTTGGCAACCAGTTCCCCAGCACAACACCCTGGCTCTCCAGACTGCAGAACATTGGTAAATGATCCAATATTTTACAATTATTGTAAAATGTAGTGCTATGTGGGGTTTTTTGCTTTGCTGAAGGTGTGCCACAAACACCCATAAATTAGCTATCAGTCACTGTCATTACAAGTCATTAATGTGTTAGTCATATTACAGATAGCCATCATTGTATGGAGGCCAATGTGCCAACTGTGCTGACAAATGATTGCAATTACACTGTATTTTTTCCATCTGTTGCGACTGCACTGTAGAGATTATGTTTTTTTAGTCAAAATTACTAATGAAACTCTAAAGGCCCTGGAAGCCTATTTTCTCAATCTGTTTCTTTCTGCATGCAAATGGCTGCTTCATTAATACACTGTTTTCTACCAAAGTGAGAAGACTTTTGGTTTTTTCACATGTTTTTTCGCACTGGTTCAAAGTCACATGATCCGTGCACCAATCAGGATTTAACAACATTTGAGTCAAAATGTGATGACAGCTGTGGGATTGTTGCTTATGTTTCCCAAAGATCAAACCACACCAACACAGTCCTGATGAAGCAAATCATCTAATTCTTGATTTTTAAACTAATGAATCATTTGTTTTTTTCTTTAAACTGAATTTACACATGCACTTTCTTACTCTTTGTCTCCTCAGAAAAGCGACTCCACTCCATGAACCAGCTGGTGGATCATCCTAACATCGTGCAGTATTTCTGGCCCGATCGACCTGTTGGCCACATACAAGATGATCATATACCATTCCTAAACAGAGGTATACACACCAACTAACAAAACTAACACAAAAAATATAACGTATATTGTGTAAACTCTGTTGGTTGATTCCCAATCCTATACTTCTCTGTCAGGTGTACGTATCCTCCACCTCATCCCCTCCCCCTTCCCATCCGTGTGGCACACGTTTGACGACAACGAACTGAACCTGGATCGCTCCACCATCCAGAACCTAAACAAGATCTTGCAAGTCTTTGTTCTGGAGTACCTCAACGCCAGACCAGCTATCCCTTCAGTGTCCTCAAACCCTTCAAACCCACAGAATGCACCATAAAATTCCCAGTATACTCTTCAGTAACTCTGTTTCTTTGGATGTAGTAAAGGTCTTTAGCTCTTATTTTACAGACTGGCATTTACTGCTAGGTACATACCAACACATCTGTTCACAATATGGGTGCCAACTGCAGAGAATATTTAACGTGGAGAATATGTTCATATAAAAAAGTTCAGATTTTATTTTGAAATCTGAGTCTTAATAGGTAAAAGTTTATATTTTGTCCTATGTGAGTATGTATAAGAAGTATTTTCAAGAGACTTTCAGACTCTATGTCTTCATCTTCCATTCAAGCCCTCAGTCACCAGCAGTGAGATCAGCACACAGGATCTTCTGTGTGTTTTTACTACACTGCGCTCTTTATTTCAGCCTAAACCCTCATTTACCCTGTGAAGAGACATCTTAGTGTCAATGCTAATGTCTAGGATCTGCTCTACTTGTAGAAGAGATGAGGAAGAATGTTAGAAAAAATGATAAATTGTGCTGATAAAATGCTGTGATGTCCAAAGTTGGTGATATGTTCTATATGAACAACTCTGGGCTAATAACATTCATAATCTGTTATGATGCATATATACAATAGGCCATTCACATGAATTCTACAAAAACATATGGGGAAGAGTATATGGCAACACACATGAGACAGTGTCACAAGGTGGTTTTAGCTACAGGGGATGTGACATTTCCTCGCCTGCAGTAAATCTGTTCAGTGTTTAGAGAGCAAACCTGTCGGTGGCAGGAAATGGGTTTATTTTTATTATCACAACATCTTCAGCCCTTCATATCCTGTCATCTCTGATAGTGAAGTGGATAACTTCCTATGCTGATGTTTCACATGCCTGCCTTTGTTTATATGACATTATTAGCCCGACCTTAATGTAGATCCCAGAATAATATACAGTGCCAAATCTGGACTTCCTGTATTTTGAGGCCAAAATAAATGTTACACATACAAAGCAGATCATGCAGAGTTTGTTTATCTTTCTAAGTCTTTTTTTGTTTTAATGTTAGCACTTTCGGAGCCATGGGTAAAGACGTTGATCCTGCTCTGATGCTTGGTCATTATGATAAAGAAAGGTGACCTTTTCCATGAGGAAGTGTGAACTTTGTTTCTGTAGGTCTAATTTAATAGCCATGCAAGAATAGCCAGAACAATTCTTCCAGTTTTGCATCCACTCCTCATGTCTCAACCCCACCTTTCTCTCAGCCTTTAAAGCTCAGGCCCTCTCTTCCTGAGCAGACCAAACACTCCCTCCATCCCTCCGCCTCACCTCGACAACAATCCCATGATTCACTTAATCCTCTCAGGGAGGACCTCCCCTGAATTCCACACCACCCAGATTCCCTTCAATCCAGCCCACTCCCATGAGAACTGAACGTGGCTCTCACTCCCCCATTTGCTGTAGTCAGAAATGTTTACGATGCCTGGTAACAACATACACAAACATACTGTATATCTCTGTCTTGAAGGAGATGGAAAGTATAACTGCTTCAAAGGCCAAATAAGACGGGGACATGTTGCGCAGTCTCCACCCAAACCGTCCAGCTTCCTTTGACTTGTAAACACAAAACTACTTTAGTGACCTTTGCCTCACTTCCTTGCTTTATACTGTATTTTATTCTACTGTACTTTTATGCTAATTTCACTCATCCTCCATCCAAGTATAGGTGTTATGTTATATAGATTTTCTATCAAAGCTTCCCTACCTGTCAGCCATGACCAAACTTACTTGGCTCAAACATTAAAGAAAATATTAGTTTGTCTAATTTTAGTTATTAAAAAATAGTTTAATTAACTTTAATGTGATGAAAAGGAGTCTTTTCCAAAACATTTCTTGGGTCAGAACAACCAGCATGTTTGAACATGAAAAATGAAGACAAGCAGAATAAATTGTTGTACAGCACTGTATTGTGGCTTCCAGTATTTTTCTTTGCCTGAAAGCAAATTGATGCATTGCCCAAGTTTAATAACAGCTGAACTTTAATCTGCAGCTGATTAGAGTGCAGAGTATACAACAGCTTCCAGCTGTAGTAGAGTGATGGGAAGGGCCGGGACTCTCCCATGAAAGGTGTGTTTAAAATTGTTAAAAAACAATAAGTCAGGAAAGGTTACTTAATGTCAGAAACCAGATTGTAAAACGTTATCTCTATTGAACACCTCTAAATAAAGGCATATAGCTAAAGCCTACCAGAGTTGTAACACTTGGGATGTGTTAAATAACCTTACAGTAAAGGAACCTTGCCTCTATCCACTAAAGACAGTCTTTTTCTTTTTCTTTTGATATTTCCTGGAAACCCTTTTAATATAGATTATACCTGATGTGCTCTCTCTGTCAGCTGTTCTATCTATAAGCAAATACACTGTTGTCTCTCATAAACCATAGTCTGCATTATGTGACATACATAATATCCCACCATGTGAGGCAAGATTTTGTTTGGTCAAATGCATATTTTTATGTTCATACTCATATGACTGCGACTATATACCTATGACTACATATATAGTCATTGTGTTTGTCTAATTCTTGTTTTATTTTCTATTAAGACAATAATGCTAGTTAGTTAGCTCGCCATATAACATTAAAACAGCATAGTTGGCTATACAGAGCAATGAGTATTAGGGAAAAAAAACTTAATTTAAATGATAAAATACAGTAAAGATGAAGAACAATACATTATTATAATATATATAATAAATATCTTTCCAACTTGGCTCCTTGTTGTTGTGAATTCCCCACTTCAGCTGGGACAGTCGTCAGACTCATTACAGCCTAAAATCCAGTTTCATTGTTTTGATGGATTGGAGATGTGTTTCTAAATTAGTTGATGAGACTGTACAATGTGAAGTATTATTGTAAGCATGTGAGTAGCAGTGTTGGGGTGACTATAGAGCAGCCTACTGCTAAATGACTTGCAAAGAAACAAGGCACCAACAGAGAGCAGTGGTGAGTCATATTCAGTTCAATGGAAAGGAGGTATTTTTCCTCTGGTGGTTTTCATGACTGATGTGATAACTTGGTGACTGCAGCTGTGATTGAACAAATTCAGCTAATATCACACTAATGACTTAATGTCACGTCAGTATAAGGTATTGTCATTGTTCTAGCACCTATGACAAATAATACGTTTAATAGGTTACTTATTTAACAAAATTTTGAATTGATATTTAACTGTGACCCATTATTTAAATGATGTTGGCAGACTTACAGTATACCAATCTGTGTATTCCTCATTTTTTTCAAGAGTAGCAAACCATAAACTGAGTACCACACTGTTTGGTATACAGCCTCCTGTTTCAAATGAGTGCGGTGAACACACAGAAACTACCTACATCACATGCTACATTCATGTGCTCTCAGTAAACTTCTCTACATGGCTCGGTGTAGTAAATAGCCTACACACTGCTGTGTGTTCATATTAGTTATGATCAGAAATATTTATAAAATTGGCCTCAAATGACCAGTTTTGTAATAGTCAACAGAAAAAGATTTGCTTTGACTGAAAAGGTGAAACTACGTCATGGTAAACATTAGATTCCGCAAGCACGCATAACTGTGAAAAAATCAGTATATGATTATTCAAATAAAATATTAATAAAGCAAAAACAACATAAACTATACAATTATTCCAGTTTATCTGTAACTGAGAGAAGCAAGTTACACTATTTCAGTACTACTTGCCGGGTCGTTACTTTGCATCTAACTGTGACTTTTCCCAGTATTCCCAGCAGCACGTGAAGGCAGCATTGATCCCAGACCGGGCGGTGAGGAGCTGTGGGGGATTTCAGTCCGACCCACAGTCATGCGTGTACAGAGCTGGTTAGTGAGTGAACACAAACAGACGAACGGCACCGAGCTGTTGTAAAGAATGTGACAGCATCTTTTTTATTTAAGTCTCAAAACCTTGTCGCCAAATTTTTTTTGGCATATTTTTTCTCACTGATATTGTGTTGAAGAAGTCATGGAGCCGATAACGAAGTGGGCGCCGAAGCAAGTTGTCGACTGGATGAAAGGTAAGTGTGGAGCACTTTACTTTGTGTACAGCTTCACTTCACGCTTTTTCTGACAGAAAAAGTGGCTCATTAACGACACTGCTGCTCTTCATACACTTGTGTGTCTCAGCTGTGAGTCGCTCCTCGGTTATCACCAGCTGGTTTCGTAGAAACTGCTCCTGTGTGACAACATACCTCCACTGAGGCGCATAACAATGGGACTTGCGTTTTCTTTTACTCTCACTTAAAGATGTTGGCAGGTTCACTCAGTTGTGTTAGCTTTTCTTTGATTCGGGCTGCTTAACTGCTGCTTATTGCAACGTTTGAATTACACTAATGTGTTTGCTCTGGGAGAAAAACATTAGCTGAAAACTATGCTGCTAAAGAGACATTTAATTCAGTCTCAAACACACCGGTTTCCAAAATAATACTTTAAGCCAGTCTCACTGTAGACCACAGACTCTACTGGTATTTGAACTAGTAAGGAATGGCACTGCTAAGTCTGTACACTAAGTCATTTGGTAAATTAACTAATACTGATATTTAACCAGTAGGCTACTTGTTCTGTCGTTGTCCTCAGTTTTGAAATCACTGCCTTCTGAGGAAGTTAAATTATTTGAATTCCATCCATCATTTTACAGTTTGGTCTGTGTTTTAGCGCTTTTTAGTATCTGACAGCTCATAAAAACCATACCTGACAGGAATGCTGGCTATGGTAACAGCTTCAGTACTCTTTGAGCCAGAGTTCAGTCACGGCATAGGTATGTCTAGTGAGGGACACCAAATGGTATGTGAAGTATGGATGGAAATAGTCGCTGTGCTATCATTCCACAGAAACAGTGAAGTGTGTCTATATTATGCTGCAAAAAGACTAATGGGCTGTTTATATGGTGGCCGGTGGGACAAAACTGTCTGTCTTTGCTTTACTGTCAAGGACATTTTGAAAAACAAACCCCAAAACAAATCATGGGGGGTTTCCTGTTTAATCTCATAATTTGTATTTCAGGGCGAGCTCTTTTGTCATCAGTTGGAACTGTAACCGTGTTGGAGCGCAGTAACTGCTGATTTAGGCATGCCTTCCAGTGTTCATCTATAGCTGGGAGCTAAAGGGGATTGTGGAGGGGTTAGTTTCAGTGTGTGCAAAGAGAAGAGCCCAGCCAGGGCACGTATGGATGGAGGATTAGTTGTGTACACAGGCCCCATTGCTGTCAGTCTCTTAAAAATCTGACTCAGCGGTTGTCTCTGCAGCTCTTCACCATTGGATTTGCAGACCCATACAAACTTGGTAGATGTGAACTAACTGAAGTTACACATACAAACCTGGTAGATGGACATGGGATATTGATCATAGGGTCAACTTGGAGTGAACCACTTGTGCCAAGTGATGGGTCACAGAAGGGAAAATACCAGGTTTTCCTGTCATTGTTGTCATATTGTCACTTCTGTGTTGTCGTTATATGCTGGAGATAGAGTCACCCCTGAAATTTAATATTCCTCATCGTGGTCCAGGAAGGCTGAATAGTCATCTGCTTAGGTTAGAGGCATTGTCTATGGGTGTACACTACAATTACTTTGCAAGCAATTTGATCTGTCTTTAAGCAGTCACAGACACAAAACAAGGAAAGCTCTCAACTAACATTCAAAATACAGCAGTGCTTCTTGAAAAACAATGATAGGTCCACTGTGCATGGCTAATGACTTTAGTTTACGCAATTTAACATGAAATTGCAATAACATAGGCTAAATTGTCCTTATTAACAAGGATATTTTGTTTATTCTGTAGTGTCAGATGCTCCAGAAGCATGTTTAACGTCTTTGTGTTCAAGAACAGCAGAGTATGTGGCTGAGGGAGCGCCAAAATTCACTGTGAAACTGTGTCCATGGAAAAGAAAAGACCTTGTGTTGTCCTCTGTGACCGCTGTACAGTACACAGCCACAACATGGCATGTAACCACCACTGATGTTGTTTGACTGAGGAATAACTTGTGTAATCCTTTCATACTGAAGACAAGCGGCGTCAAACTGTGGTAAAGCCCTTGCTGAGAGCCGGGTCATGGCCTCATGTTGACCTGTTCACACCAGTGGCTAACACGGGTGTGTGAAAGAAGTCAAATTAAAGTCCCTGTAAGCACTGTATGCTCTTATTTGCCTCAGGTTGTTTTCCTCAGTAGGACAGGGACTTGTTTTGTGTATTGAGACAATTGTTAATCACTTGTATTGTTAAAGGAGATCAAGCGGCGGTTGGTGGATGTTTATTGCCATTGAAAGGACATTTGGTTCATTGAATTTAATCACTGTTGTTTTTTGTTTGGGGACTGGAGATGCCCTGAAGCGCACTTCCTTCACCACAAGGTCTGATCTTCCAGCTGGACCTGTGGTGTCATGTGATTGGTGTGCCATATGTCATGTGAGGAGCTGCTTGCCCAGGGGGAAATCAGCACTTTTCTAATGGCAGTATAGATGGCACAGCCATAATATGTTTTCATTAATTGCATTAAATTTTCAGTTTGTTGTGACAATTGAATCCCTTTGGGTTGGGTTGGCTTTGAAGAGCTGTATCAGTGGCATTAATGCATTGACCTACATACCCATGTCCACAAAGTCAAAAGTTTAAGTCGTATGCTGTAAGTCATTTTCCAAATATAGTCCTGACTCCATGTGGGCAATGCTTCAGCTGAGAAGGGCTGGCACTGACCGGGGAATGTTTAGCTCCAACTTCTTATTTACCAAACACTCTTTTCTTTTTGTCCTTTCCTCTTATCCACCTTGTAGTTACTGGGAGTACGACTGCCAAGTTTTAACAAGGCATCCCAGACACGCAAACCTGCACAACTACTGTCTGACTGAATGGCTTTCATCCAGTTCTTTAACAAGCCCAGGCTTTGCAGCACAGTACACGCTGGATGTCCTCCAACATTTTCTACGCTTTAATACTGCCTAATCAAATTTCAAAGCCATGTATCTGTAAATGGACTAGGCTTGTGAATTTTTAGCATTGAAGTTTATTTGGAGCATGAGGTCATGATTAAAGTCCTGCTGATCTAGTGGCCTACATCTATCTCATACCTATTTTAGACCAAACAACCCTGTTTGGGACACATCTATACAAGGCCTGGCTCTATTAGCTCAGCAGTGATAAGCTAATAGAGCTGCAGATGCAGATGTGTGTCTTGTGTGTGAACATTCCCAATAACCAGAAGTCTGACATGAATGGTCAGATGCAGGTTGAACACGTGCTCGGCATCCCAGATGTGTTTGATTTGTTGTCATGTGGTGGGAAACATAAGAGTGGCAGCGAGGGTGTTTGTGTGTGTGTGTGTGTCTGTTTCTGTGTGGCTGTGTGGCTGTATGCTGCTTCTCAAGTAGCACCAAGGTGCCAAAAAGGTAATTAGGTTGTCAGAGAGGTGACAAACATGTGCTGAATATGATTTTGTCTTTGAACAAGTGGGCACTTGGAAAAATAACACCACTGTGTCCGAGTCCACACATGCTAACTGACTGCACTGATGGGTACCGTCAGCAGCCTTATCTATAGAGTTGATGGCGAGGTGTGGGCAATGATGGTCTGTGATCTTTATCTGGCTGAAACAGAGACTTCCTAAACTGGAGCGTGAACAGACGTTGTGCAGACACCTCACCCTTATTAAGGCATCCACTGTCTCTGTTTTAGTGCCGGCTCTATCGTCCAAGTGGAGGTCTATGTTTGGATAGCCTCCACAGGCATCATTAATCCAGTTTAGCAACCCTTATGCTGTAGAGGCTGCATGTGTATATGCATCAAGGAGGACAGGTGTTCAATTAATCCAAACATTGGATTTAGGAACAGCGGAAGTCTGTATGCCCCCTCTCTTGACCTCATGTTTACAAGGAAGTAACAAGGTGAAATAATTTATTCAAATGAAAGTAACTGTTCCCTCAAAGTTAAAACTCCTGTCTTTGTCATTTACCAGTCTCCAGTCATCCAGCCATTCAGCCTTTAAAATCGACCTATTGTGTTCCATTGATGGGCAGATAACCATGTTACTTTTCCATAGAAAATGGTCTTTCGAGTTCAGGGGAAGTGCTGTAAGAGGATTCCCCCTGGGGAGAGGTGGCTGAAAGGGATTGCCATGGTTTTGTTCCTGTCGGCCTCTCCGCGGCCTGTTTCTCACACGGCCCGCTGTCTCAGCCTTATAGCCTTAGGAGCTCTAACATATGGGGACTTCTAGAGAAATCATCAATAGTTAATGCCACTGTTCTGATCAAGTGATGAGGAGACATAGAGAAAGCAAGAGTCAGTATGTTTTATTCACTATTTACGTAGTGGTTAAAACTTGCTATCCATTTGAGCTTCAAGACAGTGTGTTCAGCTTTGATGTTGTGTTTGGACAGTACACAGCAATGATCCTTCATTTGTACAGTACTTTATAGGGGTGGGGATTTTCATCAGTAAAATAATATCAGTTTGCATTTGTGTGTATATCCAACAGTTTTTCTCACCGTGCCACTGGAGGAGACCAAGTGTCCCCTCGTATCCCTGCCAACCTGGACTAGACCAGTTTGCTTTTCATTCAAATCTAAAATATGCATTGCAAATCTCCCTGATGATCTCAGCTTAGCTGGACCAAGCTATTTGGCCCTGCTCTGCCCTAAGAGCATTGGCCTGTGAAGTGCCATTCTTAAGCCAGGGGAATAAACGCTCCAACCTGAGGTGGCACAGCGGGTGCAAATACGGGTCACATGCTGAATGACCTCTCGTGCAGGGATGTCAAGTGCGTGTGCCTGCCCACGCTCACTGGTTTGTATGTGTTTGCGTGTCATGATTGTGTCTCAGGGCTCACCATCTCAGTCATGTGATCGGAATTTTCCAGTATATTAAAGTTTCAAATTGCTGCGGCACCACATAATGTGCTGGAGAACTGGTGAAGAGAACGAAAAAGGAAGTGTATGGCTGTGTTGGTATTGCTATCTAAGCACTGCTAATGCAGTTATGCTCAAATACCCACAGAATATGAGAGGAATGCAGTCAACTGCTGTTTTTT